ACCTTCCTTCTGAGGAGTGGCTGGTGGGTTTGAACCGCCAGCCTTCTGGTTAGCAGTCAAGTGCCTTAGGCACTATGCTACCAGAGCTCCTTTCAGAGTAGTACTGGCCTCCATAGGGTTTCCAATGGCTTTGCTCTTTTGAAAATAGATTGACAGGACTTTGTTCTGCAGTTCCTCTGGGTGGATTCAAACCAGCAACCTTTTGGTAAGTAGCTTAACCCTTAATTATCGGTGCCACCCATGGACTCCTATACGTCTATTTCTAACAGATAATAATAATATATCTATTAGAATACCTAAAATGAAAAAGATTGACTACATCAAGTGTTGGTTAGGGTGATGAGTAAGTAGAGCACTGATACATTACTTGTGGGAATGAATAGCACAGCCACTTTGTAAAAAAAAAAAAAGAAAGAATGAAAGAAAAGGGTAGTTTCTTAAAAAGTTAAACATATGCATATGAAATGATCTAGTCATTCTACTCTTAGATATACACCCATGAGAAATGAAAGCCTGTGTCCATACAAAGACCTGACCACAAATGTTCATAGAAACTTTATTTTTAATAGTCAAAAACTGGAAACAACCCAAATGTTCATCCATAGGGGAATGGATAAGCAAATTACACTATATCCATACCATACCATTGTATTACCTAGCAATACAATGGAATGAACTATAGAGCTACTTAACAGCACGGAAGGATCTCAACATATTTATGCTCAAGGTGATATGCTCAGAGACTGGAGAAAGCACAACACTAGCACAGGCTAAATACACAGATTTGGTGGAGGCTTCCTGTACAGGCCAAAGTGTTCTTGGGAGTAAAATGCTGAATTTACATCATGCTCATGACAATTCAGAGGTGCTTTCTTTTGAGGATGTTGGAAGTTTTCCCCTTTTTCTCGGACTCCACAAATCCAGTTCAGAACTCAAAAAGCCCAAGTTTTGGGTCAGCCATGTGGACCAGATACTTTTAAGAGTGTTTCAGGAGTTGGACATTAATACACTCACCAACATTTTTGAGGCAGAATCTGTGCTAGAAAATACAGTATCAGCAGTGTCCAGCTAAACCTTCCTGGTTCTCCTAGCACTTCCAGACACAGATGAATCACTAGGACACAAGAAGTAGGATCTGGCTACCCTAGCATCTGCCTGGAAGGGCTGCCACCCCAACCAGGAAGTGCATGAAAATCAACACCCACTGCAGATAAATTTGACCAATGAGACAGAGGAGACAAGGGGAGCCAACATGTAAATTTTTTCTAGCCCCTCCTATGGGCTGTTCAAAGGCATGGTGGCTTATCCTGAGACATTTCTCATACAAGTATAACTCTGCTTTCTTTTGAAGCTGTGGCTCAATAATGTACCATCTTGTAGCTTATCTTCCCTTCTCTCCATTTCATCTCCTTTATTCTTTCATTCTGGGTGCCTTCAGATTATATTCTTGTATTCCACAATAAAGCATTAGACCATAGACTTTCTCTCAGGTTCTGTTTTCTAAAGGACCCAGGCTAAATGACATAAAGGGTATAGATTACCTGCTACAATGGTAGAGTTGAGTAGTTGCAACAGGGACCATATGCCCTGCAAAGCCTAAAATATTTAATCTTTATAGAAAAAAAAGATTTGCTGAACTCTGATTTAAAGTGTTCATTTCAACAAACATTTATTGTATAAGGTGCTTTACACTAATTGCAAATATATGACTTAACTGAAAATGGCTGAAATCAGATGGTCCTCTATCACTTCAAAATGTCCTCCATGGGAATATAATAGAAGTTGTGTTTTGGATACATACCTAGAGTCTTTAATGCAGTGGGCGGCTGTGAGGACCCACTGCTCTTTCACTAAACTTCCCCCACATATATGAGCAGGAATACTGCCAGACTGAATTTGCAGGCTCACTATCCATGGCCACGCACCAGCTTGAGCTTCTGTGCCTCCTATAATCCGAGACCCTTTCAACACATCCACCAGCGGTGCTGTTCCACAATCTGAAAATAAAAATGATATATTTGGATCGAGCAGCTGTATTGCATGTTACTTCCTAATCTGAGCACATTAATGTAATCCTTTATATTCCAATTTAAAAGGCTCATAAAGCAAGCTGGATACCCCAGGCATATCCATATTTTGAAAGATTTTTAAAGGAGAATTATGACACGAGATTCAACTATTGGTCTCTCCCCATCTGGAATAAAACAGAAAGGAGGAAACCAAAGACTCAGAAAAAACTAGTCTACAAAACTAATAGTCTACGTGATCCATGACCTCATCAATACTGAGACCAGAAGAATTAGATGGTGCCCAGCTGGCACTACTGAACAATGTGGTAAGAAACACAATAGATGTATCCTGACAGAATGCAAGCAGTATGTGCAACAGAACTCAAATTCTTACAAAGTCTAGTCTTACCAGATGAGACTGGAAGACTTTCTGAGATACTGTTTAAACTATGAACCAAAACCATTCCACGAGGTCACCTTTTAGCTAAATAACAGATTGACTCATAAAATAAACAATATTGTCCATGAATACTGTGCAGCTTTAAGAAATCATCTATATGAGATCAAATGGGCAGTATTTTCTGAAAAACAAAGATGAGAAGGCAAGGGTGCAGGGAAACTAGATGAATGGAAATGGAATAACCAGAATGGAAATAATGAGAAAGTTGACACACTGTGAAAACTATAACCAATGTCACTGAAAAAAATGTGTACAAATTACTAAATGGGAACCGAATTTTCTGTGTAAACTTTTACTGAAAATACAATAAAATATTTTATTAAAATTGAAAAAGAAGCATTAAGACAAACATGCCTTAATTACTTGCAAGTAGAAAAATCAACACAATTCATTAATTTAAAGACTCTATTCCCCAAAAATGGAGTATAAAAATGAGGTAAGTTTCACTTGCCAGATACCATGTTCTTCTTTGTGTGAAATGGTGATTAAAGATCCTGGGACTGGTGAGTCAAGGGTTCTTCCCCTTGAGAACAGAAGGGCAGTATTTGCACAGGGATATAGCTCAGGGGGCAGGATTACATAGAAGGACACAGGGAAGAGGTAACTAAGGTGAGGAAGTGAGAGCTGTTACAGTGTGAGGATTGCAGTCAATGTCATAAAACAAAATGTGTATGAACTGCTGTATGGAAAATGAATATGCTCTGTAAACTGTCACCCAAATCACAATAAAAATTAAAACATAACAAAACAACAGAGTTCTTCCCCTTGAAATTTAACTGTTCGGGCTACTTTTTCTCAACTGTAGTATGAAAAGTTGCTAATATTTATTTCAACTATGAATTTCAATGAATAATTAATTTTCCAAATGGGAATAATACACAATAGCAGAGAGATGGAAACAACCTAGGTGGTCAACAATGGAGAAATGGAAACCAAACTGTGGTTACACACACAGTGGAATACTATGCAACACCAAGGCATTATGTGCGATCCCAGAAACACTGCATAATGAGGATGAACTTGAAGGACATTATGTTGAGTGAAATAAATCAACCACAGAAGGACAAACATTGTATGAGCCTGCTATTGTAAAAAGTCAAGAAAAGGTTTATACGTGGAAAGAAATTTTCTTCATTGGTTACCAAGGATGGGATGGGAGAGGAGGGGAGGGAAGGGGAAGGAAAATTCCTAGATAGGTTTTTTTTGGGAAAAAAAATTATATATATACATAAAACCAAACTCACTGCCACCAGAGTCCATTCAAAGCATAGTGACCACTCCTTGGGTTTCAGAGGTGATACCTCTACTGAAGTACATTGCCTAATCTTCCTTCTCAGGAGTGGTTGGTGGGCTTGAACCACCAGCCTTTTGGTTAGCAAAGATAATTAGTGGTTACCAGAGGTAGGAGGGAGGGGGAAAGGGGAAGCTTTTGTTTGCGGGGCATTGAGTTTGTGCTAATGGTGGTGGAGTATTTTGGAAAAAAAAAAGCAATAATGGTGGCACAACATGAAAAATATCATCAATGTCCCTGAGCTGTAAATGGGAAGGTTGTTATGTTGGTGAAGGTCTTGGTGTGTATTTTTTCACTACAACAAAATTTTTAAAAAAGGCGGGGGGGGGGGGTGTGAGGGGGTGGGATAATAAATCCTAGAATGTTTTGAGGGGCAAACATAGATACCCTGTAATATAAACACAAATACAGATGAAAATGTTTGGCATTTTAACTATTACTGCTAGCACTACTAGCATCATTATTGTAATATAACTAGAAACCGGTTAGGTCTCTAAAATTGTGTTTAAAGATGGTTGGGACAACAGAAAATGAAGGACTAAATTCCAACACTATCACAGTGGAAAAAAGAAAAAGGCATCTGTCCAGTGACTGGAGCGAACAGACGCTGCGCTTGGCCCCCAACCCTTCCCTTTACCAGGCCGTACACTCTCCCTGCTGCCCAGCCTTCCTGGGTGCAGCCTCAGCCCCCACCGGACCACCGGTCTGTGCCCTCGAGGAGCCGAGCCTACTCTTCTCCAAGAGTGAGTGGTATTCCGAATATATGAGAGAGCTCCCCAAGATCAACAGCACGGCGCTCAAGAGCCCCAGGCCCATTTTGGAACTCTCGGTGGGCAAGATGGCGTCAGGCGTTTCCTGTCTTTACGTCCCCTCCCCCCAGGGCCCAAGAGGGCGCGTTAGCCTCAAGGCACGCGCAGGGCAGACTCGGTGGAGGGGACGTGTAAGACACATACTTGCAGTTCCTGCAGGTGAGGCAGAAGAGCTGGGTAATGTGGGCTGTCACGGAAGGCACAAGAAATGAGAGGAATGACTTGGAAACTGCAGCAGGTGAGGTGCGTGGAGTGGGAAGGGCATTGCATACAAGGGGAATTTCGTGGAACAGATAAGTTATGTGAGATGGTCAGGGCACACGAGGCAGCAAGATGTGTGAAAGGGGAGAGGTGGGGAGGATTATGGAGTATGTGGGTGGATGTGGTGGCCCAAGAGCAAGGGGCAGGTGAGACCTGTGAGGGGACCTGGATCAGTGATTCCATGAGGCAGCCAGAATTGGCCTGACAAATCAGACCTTCAGTATCCACTAAGACAAATGCACTTTAAATTCAGCAGTGACCTGCCCTCAGCCATACCCTGGGAGTTCAATAACTGAGAAGACTTTCCTGGCCAGATAACACTCTTCTCCTATACACTGTGGAAGCAAAGAAGAAACATTGGTATTCAGAACATATGGCCTTGGTGATAGAAATGACACCAGAGATCACATGACAGAATTTTGCAAGACCAACGACTTATGCATTGCAGATATTATTTATTAAACAACAAAAACAGTGACTATAAATGTGAACCACAGCAAATGGAATAAACAGGAATCAAATCAACTACATCTGTGGAAAGAGATGATGGAGAAGCACAATATCATCCGTCAAAGCAAGGCCAGAGGCTGACTGTAGAAAAGACCACCAATTGCTCATATGCAAGTTTAAGTTGAAGCTGAAGAAAATTAAAATAAGTCCATAAGAGCCAAGATATGAGTATATCCCACCTGAATTTAGAGACCATTTGAAGAATGGATTTGATGCACTGAACACCAATGACTGGAGACCAGACAAGTTGTGGGATGACATAAAGAACATCATACATGAAGAAAGCAAAAGGTCTTTAGAAAAACAGGAAGGGAAAAAAAGACCAAAATGGATGTCCCAAGAGACTCTGAAACTTGCAGCCAAAGTGAATGGAAGAAACAATGAAGTAAAAGAGCTGAACAGAAGATTTCAAAGGGTGGATCAAGAAGGTAAAGTAAAGTAATATAGTGAAATGTGAAAAGACCTGGAGTTAGAAAATCAAAAAGGAAGAACACACTGGGCTTTCTCAAGCTGAAAGAATTGAAGGAAAAATTCAAGTCTTGAGTTGCAATATTGAAGGATTATATGGGCAAAATATCAAATGATGCAGGAAGCATCAAAAGAAGATGGAAGAAAGTCAATGACACAAAGTCATTGTCCCAAAAGAATTGCCCAACCATTTCAGGAGGTAGCATATGATCAAGAACCAATGGTACTGAGAAGTCCAAGCTGCACTCAAGGAATTGGCAAAAAATAGAAAAAACAAGGCTCCAGTAAACAGAATACCCATTGAGATGGGTATTTTAACAAATGGATGCAATGCGTCAAGGGCTTACTTGTTTATGCCAAGAAATCTGGAAAACAGCTACTTGGCCAACAAGCTGGGAGAGAGATCGATATTTGTGCCCATTCCAAAGAAACATGATCCAATAGAATATGGAAATTATTGAACATTATCATTAATATCACACACAGGTAGAATTTTGCTAAACATAATTCAAACACAGTTGCAGCAGCACACAGACAGGGAGTGGCCAGAAATTCAAGCCAAATGCAGAAGAGAACACAGGACGAAGGATATCATTGCTGATGTCATATGGATTTTGTTGTTTGTTGTTGTTAGGTGCCGTGGAGTTGTTTCTGACTCATAGCAACCCTATGCACAGCAGAATGGAATACCACCCGGTCCCGCACTACCTCCATGATCCCTGCTAGATTTGAGCCCACCGTAGCCACTGTGTCAATCCATCTCATTGAGGACCTTCCTCTCTTTCATCGACCCCCTACCTTACCAAGCATGACATCCTTCTCCAGGGAATGGTCCCTTCTGACAACATGACCAAAGAAGGTGAGACGAAGTCTGGCCATTCTCGCTTTCAAGGAGCATTCCGGCTGTACTTCTGCCAGGACAGATTTGTTAGTTCTTTTAGCAGTCCATGGTACTTTCAGCATTCTTCACCAGCACCACAACTCAAAAGCATCAATTCTTCTTTGGTCTTCCTTATACATTGTCCAGATCTCACATGCATATGAGGTGATTGAAAATATCATGGCTTGTGTCAGGTGCACCTTAGTCCTCAAGGAGACCTCTTTGCTCCTCAGTACTTGAAAGAGGTCCTTTGTTGCCAACTTGCCCAGTGCTATATGTCGTTTGATGTCCTGACTGCTGCGTCGATTGTAGAAACAAGCAATGTGAAGTCTTTGACAACTTCAATGTTTTCTCCATTTATCTTGATACTACTTATAGGTCCAGTTGTGAGGATTTTTGTTTTCTTTATATTGAGATGTAATCCATACTGCGGACTGTGTTCTTCAATCTTCATCAGTAAGTGCTTCAAGTCATCCTCACTTTCAGCAAGCAAAGTTGTGTTGTCAGCATATTGCAGTTTGTTAATGATTCTTCCTCCAATCTTGATGCCACAGTCTTCTTGATATAGTCCAGTTTCTCGGATTATTTGCTCAGCATATAAATTGAATAAGTATCGGGAAAGGATACAACCCTGACACACTCCTTTCTTGATTTTAAACCATGCAATGTTCCCTTGTTCTGTTCAAAGACAGCCTCCTGGTCTATGTACAGGTTCCTCATGAGTACAATTGGTGTTCCAGAATTCCTATTCTTCTCAATGTTATCCACAATTTGTTATGATCCAGACAATCAAATGCTTTTTCATAGTTAATAAAACACAAATAAACATCTTTCTGATACTCTTTGCTTTGAGCCAAGATCCATCTGACATCAGCTATGATATCCCTTCTTCCACATCCTCTTCTGAATCCAGCTTGCACCTCTGGAAGTCCTCTGTCAATATACTGCTGCAATCGTTTTTGAATTATCTTCAGTAAGATTTTACTTGCATGCAATATTAATGATATTGTTCAACAATTTCCACATTCTGTGGGATCACCTTTCTTTGGAATGGGTACAAGTATGGATCTCTTCCAGTCAGTTGGCCAGGTAGCTGTCTTCCAAATCTTTTGGCCTAACTGAGTGAGTACCGCCAGTGAGGCACCCGTCTGTTGAAACATCTCAATGGGGATTCTGTCAATTCCTGGAGCCTTGTTCTTTGGCAGTTCCTTCAGTGCAGCTTTGACTTCTTCCTTCAGTATCATTAGTTCTTGATCATATGTCACCGTCTATAATGGCTGAACATCGACCAGTTCTTTTCAGTACCATGATTCTGTATTTCTTCCATCTTCTTTTGATGCTTCCTGCATCATTCAGTATTTTGCCCATGTTGTTGTTATGTGCCATCGAGTCAGACCCAACTCATAGCGACCCCTCCTTGGTTTCTGAGGCAGTATCACTGCGGAAGTAGATTGCCCAACCTTCTTTCCAAGCAGTGACTGGTGGGTTTGAACCACCAGCCTTCTGCTTAGCAATCAAGTGCCTTAGGCACTATGCTACCAGAGCTCCTAGAATCTTTCAATATTGCAACTCGAGTCTTAATTTTTTTTTTTTCCTCAGTTCTTTCAGCTTGAGAAATGCTGAGCGTGTTCTTCCCTTTTGGTTTTCTAACTCCAAGTCTTTGCATATTTCATTATAGTAATTGGCTTTTTCTGCTTGAGCTACTCTGGCTTTCCTTTCCTTTCCCCTATGCTTTTCCTGCTACTTGGGGGTTGTGGAGCCTGGGTCCCTCCCCTTACTCGGATCCCTCTGCCACTTACTGTATTTCAAAATGGATCTTGGTTGAAAGTAAAGATTACCAAAAAGATGTTTGCCTATGTTTTACTAACTGTGCAAAGGCATTTGACTGTATGACTCTGTGGATCATAACAATTTATGGATAACATTGTAAAGAATTCCAGAATGTAAAGAATTCCAGAACACTTAATTTTGCTCATGAGAAGCCTGTACATAAACCAATAAGCAGTCATTCAAACAGGACAAAGGGATAGTGCATGGTTAAAATCAGGAAAGGTCTGCATCAGGATTGTATCCTTTCACCATATTTATTCAATTGGTATGCTGAACATTTAATTCGAGAAGCTGGACCATATGAAGAAGAACACAGCATCAGGACTGGAGAAGATTCATTGTGGGATATGCAAATGACACAACCTTGCTTGCTGAAAATGAAGATGACTTGAAGCACTTACTTATGAAGATCAAAGACCACAGTCTTCAGTATGGGTTACACTTCAACATAAAACAAAAATCCTCACAAATGGACCAATAAGCAACATCATGATAAATGGAGAAAGGATTGAAGTTGTCAAAGATTTCATTTTAGTTGGATTCGCAATTGTTGTTGTTGTTATGTGCCGTCGAGTCGGCCCCGACTCATAGCAACCCCTCCTTGGGTTTCCGAGGCAGTATCACTACGGATAGTAGGATTGCCCAACCTTCCTTCCGAGGAGTGGCTGGTGGGTTTGAACCGCCAGCCTTCTGGTTAGCAGTCAAGTGCCTTAGCCACTATGCTACCAGACGACCGTGAAAGCAGCAGTCAAGAAATCAAAGGACGTATTGCACTGGGCAAATCTGCTGCAAAAGACCTCTTCAAAGTGTTAAAGAGCAAAGATCTCACTTTGAAGACTAAGTGCACGTGACCCAAGCCATTGTCTTTTCAATAGCCTCATATGCATGTGAAAGCTGGACAATGAATAAGCAAGATCACAGAAGAATTGATGCATTTTAATTATGGGGTTGGTGAAAATATTGAATATACCATGGACTGCCAGAAGAATGAACAAATCTGTCTTGGAAGGAGTACAGCAGGAATGCTCCTTAGAAACAAGAATGACCAGACTTTGTCT